TTTCTTCCTTTTTTTTTTTTTTAATTAAAAGAGATATTTTAAAGTAGATATGTTTCTTATACTTTGAAGAAAAAAAATTGTTTGTTTTTCTGTAATTTTCAATCAGTTCTAACTACCAATATCTGTTGGATGCCTGAAAGTTATATCTACCCAATTTTTGAATTTTTGTATTTCTCCATACGGACCCATGACTTAAAGATTAGTGGTGGGACTGAAGGGAAAAAATGTGGGGATGTGTCTGCTAAAATCACTTGTAATTTATAACTTAAGTAAAACTGATGAGATCCAGTTTCCCATTGAAATAAAAAAAGCTGAAAGGGAATTTGTTTTATCTCAACTGAGAAAGGCAGTTAAAAATGTCATGCAAAGAATTTTATCCAGACTGTTTAATCAGTTTTTCTGGGAGGATTTCCTTCCAGAAGAACTGACAAATGCTTACTTTTTCAGGAGTTTGTGCTTCATCCCATTTAGGATTAGAGCCCATTTAACATATATGCTGATCTTTGTTGCCTAGTCTCCATCATTAAATCAGATCCACAGTGCAATATAAATGGATAGATTATTTAATATGGTAATTCATCCAAGCTATTTTAGAAGTCTTGCTATGGTAAGGGTGAATCACTCTCTGAAAGTACCTCTTCTGCTCTGTTAAACCTAGACACAGAGTATATAGTTTAGGTGATTACAGGAGGTTTAGAAGTTGAAAATTAACTGAAATAAAAATATCTTTTAAATAAAAAATGAAAATGAAAAAATTAAATTTTTTTAAAATATTTCATGAAGTATTAAAAGTCACAGCACTTGTATAGTCAAATGTAGAACCATATTTTATTCACCAAAGAGAGAAACAACAAAGTTAGTGAGTATAGAAGGGCTTCTCCTTTCCATTTCCAATCCAGTATTTCTGCTTTGGGACACACTCCAGGAAAGATCTCTGGCCAGTGCAGCCTTTCTGCTGATAATTGCTTCAGATATAGACCAAATAAAACTGATTCTGTCACTTCTGATCTTTCTCATTAACAGTAGTGAGTAGCAGATGCCATCCGAACCACATAAATCCACAACAGCCTGTAGATAAAAGCTGGCAAAGTTAAATGCTAATTTTTGTCAGGAAGTTCTACTAGGTCATGATGCAAGAGCGATTTTCACTAAAAAAAATTACATCTCTCCCCACCAAGTTTAGAGGGGGATGTGTTCCTTTTCCTGTCTCAGTGTTTTCTGCTTGTGCTGTGTTTCCATTTTTTGCACCTGGGCATGCGTGGGATCTAAAAGATTAAACAGATATAAAGAGTTAAATCTGACTGAAACCCAAATCTTAACAGATAAAATTTTCAAAGGATTGATTCTAGACTAAGCAATATAGCTGGCTATGCCTTCACCGTTTGGTTTGCACACATCTGCTCTATCAATCACATGAAAAGACACAGTTGAGAAATGTAAAAATAAAGCATTTATAAATATTCATAAATACAATTTTTACATTACTTCATTTATACCCATCACTTGTATCAATGTAAATTGCTATTTAATGGATTCTCAACATGCAAAAATTTCCTCCAAGTTTAGAACAGAAGCAGGGAATAAGTCTTGTAAGACAGTTACTTTAAAATATTTATATATATTTTTCATTCAGACCTCTTAAAAATAAAAGAAGTGATGGTTTGTTCAGCTGTTTATAACTCAGAGTAAATTAATAGAGGTCTATAATAACAGGGAATCTTTATGATTCCGTCATATAATTTCATCTGAATTATTTACCTCTAAATTCTAATTTATGCCATCATTTACTACTGAAAAATACCGCAAAACAATTTTTGTTTTTATAATTGAAGGTAGCCTATATTGACTGTTTGCAACAGTTAACAGGAGACAAACCTTTAAAAGCTGTTGTTAAATCCTGATCCGTAATAATGGAAGAAATAATCAATGAACAATCAACTTCTACAAAAATTCCTATAAAGATATTTAAGGGGTTTTTAAAGAAACTAAAAAAAGGTGGATTATGTTATGTTTCTGTCACTGAATAAGGAATACAGAAAGTTTGTTTTACAGCAGCTTCTTAAGTAGAAGGAGTCCCACAGCAGTCATTAGAGAAGAACATTATTACTGCTAATTGATGGTATGTTCCTAATTTATCTAGTATCTCCTGCTTTAGCATGTCAGACAAAGATACATTTGGATCAGTGTAATCAAAATGACCTCATTCATGATAATGATAGCCAGTAATGCTGATAAATATCCTTAAAGCCATTCCAGCTGATCTCAAAACTTTTCTTTTTGGTTTTTTTTTTTTAAGCTGCGTAACCACTGGCCAAGTCGTAAATACAAAAGGAAAAAAAAATGTAAAAAACCTCAAAGCAAAAAATAAAAGAAACTCCAAAGCAACAAATAATAAAAATAAGTAAAGAAAGAAAAGCTTTCACTGTGTAGATTGTATGCTGATCACTACTGGAGCGATAGCTGTAAGATATCTGCAAAGATGCAGAATAATCTTCTTACAAATATATGTAGAAAAAACTTCCTTTCCGCTGCTGATGATCTGGTTTATTGCCTGGAACTTGTCAACGAATATTAAAAATATCATAAACACAAAATAAATAAATAAATAAATTATAAAGACTAAGTGTATGATAGGAACTTTGTTTAAGGTCTTACATGAGAAAACACAAGACTGCAAATGTTGCCACAAATAACCTCTCAGATTTAAACAGCCCTCTATTACAATAATCTGGTTTATCTAGAAAAATCTTCTAGGGGAAGAAAATGCAAGCTTCATCTCATCCCCATGGAATGCTAAAGTATTTTGTGACTATTTGTAACGTGTTGTTTTTTTTTCCTATGCCACAGACCCATCTATCACACAGCTCACTAAATTAATTGAAGGGGAACCTGAGTTCAAAATAGTCAGGGAAGGGGAGACAATAACTAAAGTGATTCATGGAGGTTGGTATGCTTTCAGCAACTCAATTTGCATTAGCATTCACTATTCCCCATCAGTTTATCTAGGTGATTCATGTTAGACAACTGTTCTGTTTTAAACAAGACCTTTGTGAAGTGCTGAAATTTTACATATACTTTTTAATTCTTATGCATTTTAATTTTTTTTTCCCTAGTTGTGTTCCATAGCTTCAGTCAAGCCAGTTTAGAAATACTCTGCATGACATATATCCCAGTCAAGAATTATTTGCTCATTGCTGTCCTGCAATAAAATATGTAGTATGTGATTCTGTGATTTAAAGGCAATTTTGTCAGAAAGAGAGGCAAAGCCTGCCTTTTCTTTGCTAAGTGCATTGAGAAGTTCACATCTAGGATGGTTTTAAAGGAAAAATCACATGATTATCCTAAATTTTGAGTAGATTTATCTCCTGATCTCTGAACATTTTTATTGTTCATAAAATATTCTATGGTATTTCCTTCCATGCTTCAGTCAGTTTTCACATCTCAAAAGAACACTTTAAAGTTCATCACTTGATTAATGCCTTGAATTTAAAAATCCTTGTAGAACCAATTATTAAAACATACACCAAAATCATTGATGGAAGACCTGTGGAAGTGACAGAGAAAAAAGTAACAGAAGAAAGAATTATTCAAGGTAAATTGAACTGAGATACTAATTCTTAGTAAAGTCCACCTTTGCATACAAAAGTAACATATCTCAAATTCTTTGTGCCTAAAAACTGCATTTCCTTGACTGATGAATTTTCAGTAATACTTCCCACTGTCTCTGTAAGTCTGACCATGTGTCCTACACACACATATACATAAATGGCAACAATATTTTAACAGCATGCAAAATGATGAAAATTTCTCTTCTTTTTTTGTTTTTATTTTCATATTTTGGTGTCTACTTCTGCAAGCTTCTTGCTACCATTTCACAGTGAGACTGCTTTTATTGTGTTTTTGTACTCTGCTTTGCTTTAGAAGAAAATTTTTTTTTCTGAATTTCTGGATTATATACCTCCAGGAAGGTTTAATTTTCCAAACATAGATTATTAATGTGTAGATGCCTATTTTTGCATGTCATCCCAGGTTCTTTTTACAGCTATTTCGGAAAAAGATCTCTATTTCTCTGTAAGGTGGGGACTTGATCTGACATCTTAGTTAAGACACTTGGATACAGCTAATGTAAGATAAAACCAATATGCATCTGCATCCCTGGATTTTCTTACACAAAAGCTCCCAAATTCCTTGGCCAATTTCAATTGTATTTGACCAATTACAGAGCTATTTCTTTAAACATCCTAGAAACTGATAAGTAGAGTGAGGCATATTTAAGAATAATAGGTGATATATGGAGTTGTCTGTTGACACTTCTTGATCACCTTGCTTAAATATTAGTTTGAATGCTGCCATTAAAATTCTGTCTGCTAGAGAGCTTGTAAGGAAAATATAAAAGATAAAAGATAAAAGTTATAGCAACATATTGACTTAGCTCTAAGTCCTAATATTCAGTTTATTTAGAAAATATTAAAATTCTACCAAAGTCATTTGAGAAAGACAGAAATAAAAAATCATGCTTAAGTTTTTATCATATAACTTTTTACTACAATGAAAATAACTGAATGAAAGATATTAGTGAAAGAAGACTGAAGATATTTTATGAAAAAACCTGGGACTATTTTCTGCCAGAAATTGTAGAGGAGATGATTAAAATATAATTTTCTCAATTCTCAGATTCAAGTTTCACTGATATCCTGCATGAAATGGTAAATATAATGTAAAATTCCAGAATTTCAGAACCGTGTCTCATTTTCAACCTGTAGAAACTGTTAAGGAATCTCAAATATTAAGTCTTCAATGATTCATAGCAATAGTAAAAGCAAAAATGTCCATGTGCAACAGTCAATTCTGACTAATATTAGACTACAGAAATACCTGATCTATGACCTAATACAACAGAGTTTAAAATTGTGTCTTACTCTAAGAATGTAAGCAGATAATTACTCTAATTATGATAAATTTGCCTAATTACTTTCACAACTAGTTCTAACTACTGTTTTTAATGCTCTTGCAGTTTAATTTCAGAAATGGTAAAAAGTAAAGTTATCATATTAGCAGATAACAACATGTTCATTATGGAATCACCATATGTATTAATAGGAAAATATAATTTAAAGGACAAACCTGTTATATCTGATAAAAGCTACTATCTTATAAAAAAATAAACATTTTCCAGGTCCTGAAATAAAATATACCAGAATTACTGCAGGGGGCTCAGACAATGAAGAGAAGTTAAAGAAAATCCTTGAAGAAGGTTAGTATGCTTGTATTATTTCATTTCTTTAATACATATATATCTCTATAGATAAGTAATTACTGAATGGATGATCCATGTTTAAAAAATCACGTTCATACTGCAAAATCTTACCCAGACATTAAACCTCAGAACCCTCCAAATGTAATATCCTTGTTTGAGTCCATGATCCTCGTATTTCAGTCAGCCCTAGAGCTGATTGGGTCTAATACATCGCATACTGTGTTTGTCATAAAATATGGTGTTTTCAGTATTTACGTGGAATTTGATAACATAACATGAATGTTTAAATTCAGAAAAATTCTATGACATGATTGTATATGCTTTTGTGGGATTGCCAAATGTTTTCTGAAAACCAATTTTTTTGCCATAACCTGTATCCTATCAGAGGTTACCAAAGTGACCAAATTTATTGAAGGTGATGGTCATTTACTGGAAGATGAAGAAATTAAAAGACTTCTGCAGGGAGGTAATTCAGTGTATTATAACTAACATTTTTGCAACAGGTTATGATAACTGAAACCCCTCTCAGATATATTGAACTCAACATTTTAAAGACTGACGCAGTAGAAGCGGAATTTTAATGGAAAAAATAGAACACTGTGTTCTAATGCCAGGTATCTGTGAAATAGAAGTAAATAAGCACCAAAGTTTAAATAATCAATTTTTTTTAATGCCATTGATCTCGAAAAAAAAAAAAAAATTGATTTTTTCAGTCTTTAAAAGGTTACCTAATTAAAACTCAGAGGAGCAATGAAGATTTATTCCATTTTTTTTTTTAGCAAATTTAAAGCTGTGAAAAACACTTATGAAATGTAACATATTGTAACCACCCAAATTCATCTTACTTATCAGTTCTTCAGAAATGAATGTTCATTGCCCTCAAGTTAATAATTAAAGGCATGTTTAACATCTTTAAATGCTTACAGGTGATGGATATCCAGACATTAACTTTAATTCTTTTCAAATGCAGCATTTCAAGGAATGGTTTTCTTTCCTTCTTTCTCTCTAAATTCTAACAGTTTTGGCAGTATATAACCAGTAGCTGTAGAAAACTAGTAAAAGAACTTCTGCATAACCAGTAGCTGTAGAAAACTAGTAAAAGAACTTCTGCTTATGAAATTAATCTTTATCTATGAATTTGGAATGTTCTCTGCTTAATGTAGATTAGAGCAACTATCTATAATAGCAATGGGTAATAAAAAAAAGAATTTAAGTGATGTGTTTTTTTAAATTCTAGTTTAAACCTGAGTCAGAAGTTCAAAAATATGGATGGATGCTTCTTTTGACATAAATTAAATAATTCCATTTAATTTTATGTTCATTTTTCAGTAAGTTACAAAGTTATATTCCAGTAAAGTAACTTACAGCCACATTTAGTTCACTGAACTAAATCTCATAGTTTTTCAAAAACACTATTGTGTGGTTGTGACTTAAACTTCAGTCAAGTAAAAATTTCCTGTTGGCTGAACAGCTGGACAGCTGACCACCAAACTTAAATATGCTAGTTGATAACACAGCTAGTCTTGGAGAAAAGCCAAGATATGGCTATGACTCCCATTGACTATAATTCTTGGTTCTGTTTCAAAGACCTGAATCTTAGTTATACAAATCTAAGCCAGAATTCACCTATAATATTGGAAAGAAACAGTAACTTTCAGAGTGTTTTTCATTTTATCCTAAGTATCCCAGCTATGTGAAAAGATTTGCTCTCTGGAGATGCCTATTTCTGGATTGACTATTTAAAAGAAAAGCTGGAAATTAAAAAATTGCAGCAAGAAAATTCCTGTATATACACTGCACTATGTTCTATTGGTTTAAACCAGTCAACAAGGAGAAGGATCAAATTTTATCTGTAGAATTCTGGTCTGATACCAGAATCTAACAATTATAACTGCATTTGTAATCACCTACAGATACAGAGGTATACAATTAAATAGATGTAATATGTAGAGATGCATCTTAAAGCATATAGGTATATGGAAAACAGATAGTTTCTTTCTAAGAAATCTGAAGAACAACATAATCTCTTGAATTCTTGCTATTTTCCTTGCTATTATATGTTAGTTTGCATAAGCATCCTGCTTTACAGAATGGACCAAGTAGGCAGATTTGTCTTTTTGTTTAATTTGATTTTTCTCTATATTTTCCATTATTTATCCAGTCAGTTATGCTTGGCTACCATGATAATACCATCCTATACATTTAGCCAATAAGCAGCAGTTACACATGCTGCTTTAGGGTTGTTGCTGATAGTAGTGATAATGCTTTATGGCCCTCTTGTCTACATAAAATAATTTTTACTGAAAATTTCCTAATCATTTAAATTTGAGTACAGTGACAAACAAATGTATTATCACTATCTAAATAAAGGAATGATTTCATATGGGCTTTAATTCTGCTCATAAAATATCCAGAACTGCTTAAAACAATTAGCAGTCTTTGCAGAAGCAGAACTGTAAAACAAGATTGCAATGAAAGACTCATCCCTAGAGATAACATGCCTTAGGGCATGAATAGCATGGTAGTCTGCAACACCTACGCCAAAAAATGACATTGTTTTCTCTGAGGGCTCCTTGCATATGGAAAAATGCTATGCCAGCTTTAACTCATTTGTTTTTGATGCTTACCATAGCCGGAACTGAGTACACCAAGGTTACTAAAGTAATTGAGGGAGAGCCACAGATTATCGAGAGAGAAATCAAGAAAGTTCATCTGGAAGGTTAGTTTGTCAAAAATTAAGTATCACTAAGACCTGCTTTGTCCAAAGTGATCATTCCAGGTGAGGTTTTACCATATCTATTCATTAAAATTATTAGGTCTGGAGCCAGCACTTTAGCAAGAGTTTTATAATTGTTTTGGAAAATAATTATTTCACTGATGTTGCAAAGGAAAATGTTGAGGCTTATCTTGTGGCTAAAAGTAACTAAAAGAATTGGAAAGCATAGCAGACAAGAGGAAATGCCTAACCACAATGCTTAGGTAAAACATTTGAAGGAACATCAACCAAAAAGAATTTACTTTTCTTTAAGCAGCACATACAGAAGAAGACCACGTGAGTTGCTTTTAACTTGAGTTATTTCTTGTCAGTGTAAATGTGATCTGTTGCTGCCAGGGTTTCTCAGCGTTGTGAAGGAGTGGGTGGGGTGCAAGGAATATAACCTCTGAGGTTGAGTAAATATCTCACAGGGTCTTGGAATTTCTCTGCCTTTGTCCTGTTGTTAAATGAGGGAAGCTCTTGATTTGAAAAACCAGAATGGAATAAAGGTCCAAAAGGAGCCAAATACAATTCACTCTGCCTTTATACCAGCAATTTGTTCTTCTACTTTAACAACCATTTTTTAATGATCTTCATTCAGTTAAGAAGTAATTTGCTTAGGGTTTCTTTTGTATTTATGTCTTTTTCTAATTCTAATGCGAATTTGGTTATTCTGTCAGACTTTGAACTAAATACATAGGGAAAAAATATGGCTTTTAGACAATGAAATAAATGTGTTTCTGCCTTTTTAATTTTGAAGTCTGCACCAAGTAGCGAAGGTTTATACAAAGTGTTTGTTCGGCTTCACTGCTGAGCAGCACAAGGCATGCTGGGGAGTCTCCTGTTGCCTGAAAGTGACAGAGAGGTGTGATCTTCAAACACAAGGCTTATCTGAAAGCATAATTGTACAGACAGCACCTAAGTATGGAAAGCATACTTTGGATGGACCATATTCTGTCCTTGACGGGCAAGTGCACAGCTTGGAATTTTCTTCCATGGTGGTGCAGATACCCAGTGTTTAATCTCAGCTAGAATGAGGTCAAGTCTGCATCTCAGGGCTCGCATTTATATACCCTGTACATCAGGATGAAAAGAGAACCAGCTGCAGCTTGTTAAGTGAATAGACAAATACTTCATGGTTGTAAAGAAGGAAAAATTATTGCAGTGACATTTCTGTGACAGTAACAGAACTATTTCTTGTGCTTATGACGTGTTTTTCCTCCCAATAAGGAGACATCTGGTTAAAAAAAAGTCTCAAGGTTTGATGAGAAAAAGGAAAACACGTCCATAGTTTCACTGAATAAGTGAAATAAAAAGAATATCTCTAATATCTTATCCAAAAGCCCTTGCTCTGCTCCACCTTTTAAAGCCGAAGCCTGAGAAAATTAACTGAACCTTAAATGCAGAATCGTATTGTGGACTCACAATGCACTTACAAATCAAGCCCCAAATACAGCTGGAAATGTGGCCAACATCTTGTAATGGCTCCAAGCATTTCACTTTTGAATAATTCCTGAAGTAATGTCAATGCAACAGACCAGGACATCTGCTGCCAAAAGCTGAGACTGAGTCCTGTGCCTTCACCCGAGCTTGTACTTCACTGACACAGTGTCACATGGTGTTTGATGAATGAAGAGCATAGGCAAAATGCCCTGGCATCTGCCTACATCATGTAACCATCTGTAGAAGATCGATAATGGATTAATTCATATGTTTAAAATGCAAAAATAGTTTTTAAATTATACTAAGATTTAATGGATGACTGCACATGAGAGAAATGTGGGAACTGTATTTTAAGTATTCATATTTCAGGTGATCAAGCCAACATGCTTCTGGAACAAAATTCTGAATTTACTGAAAAATTTAAAGAACAAACTTCAAAAGTCAGCAATGAGTTTCCAGTATTTCTAATTAATTTTAATTCAAAGGCTCCAGCAAATAACTTCTGACTGCAACATTTCTCTTTTCTAGAAGCACCTGTACGGAAAGCACAACCAACCAGGAGGGCGCAAGGTAAAAAAAAAAGCCATACATTTAAACATTATAACATATATCAAATATTATCTCATTTATCTCAGGAGTCAGGACGGGGGGAAAAAAAGGCTCCTAAAAATACAGATTTCAAAAGAAAAAGCTGTATTTCTGTTTAAAAATACCCTAACAAAATCTGGAGTTGCTAATTATTTTTTTCTGATATCTCAAAAAAATCTAGATTGTGTGCTTTATTGAAAGAGTGTTTCAGATGAGATTAAAGCCATCAAAGTGAAGTCTCACTTTGGAGTCAGACTTTGGGAAAATGGCACTCTGGGATTCTCCACTGTAAGATTTATAACTCTCAGAATGTATGTTATTTTGATTAATGAAGAAGCTGAAAGATCAGTTTAATTTCACAGCTGTCAGCACAAGAGAGAAATACTCGGCTCCAGGCTTCATCTTTGCTTTTCACATGTCTGTTTCACAAGTAAATACAGTGTACAGTGTTACTATGTTATATATAATTGCAGGTAATAAAAGCTCTTTTTCCATATTTTGCAGGCGGAGCAGCAAGAAGGAGAACAAGACTAGATCATTCCTAAAAGCTTGCCAAGACAGAATGCACAGAATTAAAAATTAACAACATGGTCTTTGAGAGGAACTATTTGGTTTTGTGGGGTTTTTTTTTTGTTGTTGTTAATAAGAACATTAGAAAATGACGTTGTTTTGATGACATAATATAAACTGAACCATGAATCCGCAAAAAGATGTGAAGCTGCAGATACTCACTGCCAGCACAGTGCTCACTAAGAGTAGTCCATTGGAGGTGCTTTTACTGCTCTTGATAGTAAGCACTATCAAGGGTGGGATCCTGGAAGCCCAAAAACATCTGTAGAACTGGGATTCCTTCTTCTGCTGTTTAGTAAGTCTTAGCAGAATTGGATTAAAAATAAGCAGGGAACAATACAGAGTGTATTTTTTTATTATTATTATTTCCACTAAATAAGAAATATTAATGAAATTAGATAATTTCTAGAAAAAAAGAAAAATAATCACCTCAGGTGATTTTTATAGTAATCTAAGGAAATATGAGATGTTAACATAGCACTTTTGGTTCAGTAGTATTATATGCTTTTATAAGTCAAAATTCATCATGTGTTTAAATTCGTAATACCAGTAATGTTACCTTTTCTAAGCAAACAAATATGCCTTATATTAAATGTATTAGGGGTTTTTTTTGTCCTACAGTGCATATCCAAACACCTTCTAGTAACTTGGCTAATGGAAGCTCTTGGAAAAAAAAAAGCAAACATTATGAGCTTCTTGCAAGGTATTAGAGATCATGTTGACTTCTTTATTTATAAGAAATCACATTCCCATTAAAGGAATCCTATAACAATACATATACCACGATTCTTAAGTGTTTTCCCATTTTTCCCTAAATGTGCCTTTTGATTATTAAAGTGGACTATAAAAGTGATAAATAAAATGCATGCAAGCAGTTAACTTAGCATGGAAAAAGGTCTTTAAAAAATGAGGCCAGGTCTGAAAGCTTTTGTATCAAAACATGCTTTGCTAATGTCTGGTATTAATGTGGAGTTTTCTGTAAATTATGTCAATTTTATCACTCTTAATTTTGTACTCATAGAAGTTGTCTGCCTTTATCAACAAAAGGTAAAAGACAAGTATTCATGGAGTAGAAAAAATCTGTTCAAAGTTCCTTAATTTTGCAGATCAAAGTATCAGAGGCATTGTCTAACATGCTTTTCTACTTCTGTTTTGAAAATACTCAATAAAGAATTTGGCTGAACTGTGCTTGCTTTCATTTGTAAATATTTCTTAATAGCAAAGCAAATCCTAAATATTCTTAAGATTTTTGCTTTAACTTGTAATTGCAAAATATGCTTTCACAGAAGAAAACTGATGCTTCCCTTTTTACTTAGCACATGCTAATGAACTTAAACTGCATCATTAAACAATTTAGGCAATTAAAACTCTTCCCTAATTCCACAGTGACATTCCCTAAACACTGCTCCTTGAACAGTACATCTATCTGAGAATGGCATTGATAAATTGTGCAGACTTACTGGACCATCCAACATGTCACTAAAGTAACCTCAGTATCTACTACGATAGTGCTTTAATGGAAGGACAGCTTTTAACCCTGGCAAGGGCTAGATAGCTTTTAGGTCAACATCAGAGCTCTTAGTACTATCTAAAAGGTGAACAGAAGTTGTCACCTTTCCCTGGGACATTGATTGTCATTAAATCTTTGGGTTTAAACTTCTTCCTTCAATGCTGTGGTAATAACAGCATGGAATAACATGGAATGGTAATAACATAAAAAGAATGGAGAGAAAATGGGAAAAAAATAAAAGGTAGAAAAAATTTATTAAAACCTATCCTCTAGTAAGAAAATTTTACCTTTTCAATTAGGAATAAATTGGTGAATTTGTGACTTAACCATAACTTTGGTGCGTTTTCTGCTTTGATAACATTTTAAAGCATCTGGTACTCACTAAAATACATTTCACACTTCACCTTTCAATATAATCTATTAATAATAAGTAATATATAATACAATAGTAACATATAATACAAGTTAAATACAACAGTATATAAAGATCATTTCTCCATGAAAACTTGTTTCCCTGATACATCGTCCCTCTCAGTCCTTCGTAGATCACAGTAGATGTCTGTTCAGCTTATTTTGGTGGAAATAAAGTGATTAAACAGGGGGTTAGCATACTATCAAGTTAGAACTCTCTTTAGCAATAGAGCACTCACTTTACTTTGTGTTTCCTTATAGTCTCCCAGGTATTTATAAACAGAAATGTCCAGTCGAGTTGGTGATGGAATTCTCAAAGCATTTCTTCTGCTTTCTTTGATATCCTGTATGAAACCTAATACAGAAATATTTTGAATTGTCAGTGTTCCCAAATCTTTCAGTTTTGCCAGAAAGTACATATAAATAATCCAAAAAATCACAAAATATAAAAGATTATCTGAATAAAATAAAATTAATAGCTTTATTCCTTTATAAAGAAAATGGTGTGAAATCTGAAAAAAAAAAAATATCCAGGAAGAATTTTTTTGCCATTTCCATTTTGACAACTGAAAATATTCTAATCAAGTGACCATCTCCAATGTAAATGTAGTACACCTTTTCATGTTGTTCATCTCTCAGAAGACCTGGAATAGCAAAACTAAATTAAAGAATTCCACTTCTGTCCACAAAGTTATTCTAATACAGTACTGAGTGGAGGCAGTAATCCTTAGAGACCAGCTGTATTGTATTTAATTCTTTTACCGTCTAAAACTCAGAACCAGTAAACACCAATCCCAGATGGAAGGTCTGAGTAGGGATACCAAAGCCTAAACCCAGCTCAGATGGAAGAAGAACTGATTCCTTTGAGTACTGAGCTCCAGAATTCTCAGTGATAGCATAAGACATGTAATCAGATCATGTAGGATTTTCTAAGATTTACAGTGGCACAGAGCTTCATGTTCCATTATTAAAGGAAGATTTGCCTCCGCTTCTCTTCTGCGTAAACTCCACATGTGGAGATTTCAAAGGTTCACCTTCTCTTTGTGTCCCCTTCCTCCAAAAGTATGGTTTTCATAGCATCTCAAGAAAATGTAAGCTTCTCAATATTGTCAATGGTTGATTTTCAGTACAGCATTATTTTTTTTAATATATGGAAAAATTAGCTTCATTATATTATTTTTTTAATCAAGACTAATTAAAACATTTAGTGATAAACACAAATGATGAAAATTAGCTACAGATTCTATATGGGGAGAATAATTCTGTGTGGTACAAGTAATTAGGATCAGTATGACAATATTTCATTAGGAGCCCAGCATGTTATTGATTGAGAAGTAGAAGCAGTTTCTATTCAGGAGACTTTTCAGTCTTCTTTACAGCCATACTAATTTATTCCTAATGTCATACTAGATTAAAATTCTTCCTTCCTTGCTGTTTTAACTAGCGTCCTTTAAATGCACGCCACAGACACCAAACTTTCTTTTATGGATATTTTCCTTGCTAAACAAAAGTAACCTCTATGATAGAATGTGCAAGTCAGAGGAATGGCATCAGCACTTAAACTTTGGATCATAATGTTCATCAACCCTCATGTGTCAGGTTGCGTTCTTGCTTCACTTTCTGACCTGATGCATCTACTATCTGCTCTGATTTCTTGACTTTTGATTTTATCTTTTGTCTATACTACTAAGTAAAAATATACCTAGAGATTTTGCTTGTGTATTTAGATCCAGTGGCACATGCAGCCTTCATTCACATTACCATCGCTTTGTCCTCAACTTCTTTTACCACCTAGTGCCCAGTGCAGGTGCAGCCCTTGCATTTAAACTTGTTAAACCTCATGATGTTCTCATGGGTCCAGTTCTCAAGTTTGTCCAGGTTGCCCAGGATGGCATCCCATCCTTCAGTTGTGTCACCTGCTCTGCACAGTCTCCTGAAAACTTGCTGAGGTATATTCCACTAAGGAATGGAAGATGCTGCTGGTCATGGTGTGCTGGATGTTTAAGATAGGAGAAGTGCTGCTTTCTGCATGCCTGCTTTATATTAATTAATTTCAGGATAGCTCCAGCTGATACACTGAAGTGCTGTTTTAATCATGTCTGGGTTGGATCATAGGCATTTATACCTCTAATTGCTAGCCCAATTGCATTTTAATGTTTTTCTTAGTGAAATACTTAACAGTTTTATCAACAGACATATTTCTCACATGGAACAGCTGTATTTCTCACCACTGGAACATGTGGCATGAGACAAGAGCACATTGAAGCCATGTGATGCGACTGTAATGCTCAACAGAATTAAAACACATTTGTTATTAAGAAAAATCCATCACTGCAAAAAGTACTGGGAAAAGACAGGGATGTTTTCAGGGGCAGAGGCAGGAGTGATTTGGGGTATGATTTGCGTAAGTTTACCCCAGTCTCTTCAGGTTGCTGACTATAGAGAAAAAGACCTATTAAGGTTGTCAGTGTCCCTGCAATCTCCCAAAGCTCAGGTGCCTGCCTGTCACTCTGTCACCACAGTCCACAGTAAATCCAGATAGACAGATCCATCTGTCTATGGACACCTAGGTCCATTTGTCTGGAGAACTAGTAGGACTTGTTTCTGTCTTCTATGGAGACCACGATTACAAAGTGCCTGTATGATGGTTGAAGATATAGATGGAGCGGTGAGGAGACTGCTGAGCCTTCTTGTTCCATCTCTAGAAAAAAATAAACAGTTGAGACATAGCTTGGAAAGTTGGTTCTTTCCAGGGAGGGCAGAAGGATAACTCATTTCTGGATCCCAGCTGGACAGAGACGGGAAATACAGTAAGTACAAGATTTAAAGAGGAGTGCTGGCAGAGAACTTTTTAAAATAAGTATATTGCTGCTGTTTCAGGGTTTTTATTTTGAGTTTTTGTATGAAATTTAATATGGATGAGGTTATCTTGGAAAATCTTATCCCATAATGCCAAGAACCCGGGAATATTGCATGTAACCACTGCAAGACCTTCACCTTCTGTAAAAACCTGCAGAAGCCCCAGGAGCACTGCCAAGATAATGGATCTTCATGTGTGTAAAAAAAACCCAACTCTTTTGGAACAATAGCTGAATCTGTACTCTCCTTCACCTACAGTCCTCAGAAAGGACTCTAAAAAACATAAGCCAGGGATATGTCATGCAACAATCCAAACAGAAGCAAGTCTGGAACAAAACAGTTGCATCTCAAATGTGTATTTGTTATTTCTCCAGCTAGAGATCTTAGACATTACAGATGGAAAAGTCTTATTAGATCATGTTATCAGTCTACTTGCCAAGCCTGGATTGTTTCCCACTATTACAGTCCATAATGCTTTACCCAGATATATGGTACCTTCTCATAGTCATTCTCTCATACTGTCTTCAGAGCCACTTTCCTATATTTTGTTTCCCTTTCTGGCTTACCTGCCATCAAGTAAGGCAGACATACTCCACCAAGTAGTTCTTCAGCAGAAATGACAACTATTTTACCTATACCAAGGATGATCCCTGTTAAGGTGACAATAATCCACTCACTCATATTTTCCTAAAATATCTGTATAATTGAAAAACTTTTGGTTTTGAACAAATTACTGAATATGACTTAATTTGTGGGTGATCTCATAGGTCTGCGACTTTTTTTCTTTTTTTGCCATTATATGATGCCATATAAGTTCAGCAAGTGTGGTTCATGAAATCACAGAACCACATGTTTAAGGAAGGGACCTCTGGAGGTCATCTGGTCCAAACCCACTACTCCAGTAAGGTCAACTAGAGTTCTAAAACTTATTTAGAGACTCAGTCACATTTGTGAATGATTTCTTATGAACTAAAAATGCCCCTATGTATTTTCCTTCTTGCCCCAAAATCAAATTGTTTTTTCAACACCATGCAATGAAAAACTATTATGTGCAATTGTTGACACTCCTCACAAATCAAGAAAAGTTATGTCAGTAGGAGTGTCACAGCAGATGATTACAAAATTCAGCATTCTTTTCAGTTCCATCATTGAAAATCTTACTAGTCTGTAAGTCTTTATCCACTAGCAGCCAGGATGCTAGGACTGTGCCCATGAATCAGGAAACTATTTCAATTCTTTTGGCTCTTAGTATGCAGACCGCAAGTTTCAAAGTTCAGAAAGTCCTCAGGCTTATAGTTTCACAGCCATAATTACCTGTGAGGAGCACAGATAACTGACATAACAAGAGAAAATCAGGCTGTATTAGCTGATCATAGACAGAAAATAAGCTATCTGTGCATCTT